AATTTTTCCGAGGAGCGATATCAATAACACATGTTGCAAAATTACGCGAATTCTATTTGATTGCTGGCGCCCTAATAAACAAATACCATCCTCCAATAAGGATGCCGGGCACATTGGAATTAGCTACACAAATGTTGCATGATATCGAAGAAGTCAACATTGTTCAGGCCCGAGTTGAGGCTGAAAACCTCCGTACAAGAAATGGTCGATGGTTTCGTTTGAACCATAGACATGTACCGACGTTTCCTCGACTTGACTTAGAATATTTGAAAACACTCACAGGGTCATATCACATTCACTTAGCTGCCTCCTACATACAAGACACGATACAAAGAGATGGAGGGGAACAAAATACACTCGATATTGACGAACTCATTGAGGAACCCAATTTTTTAAGATTTCGAGTATTTTCTCGGTTCAGAAATGCCACTAAACATATGCTGTGGTTAGTATTCAGAGAAATCGATGATAATAATTTACAAGATCCGCCCATTTTAGGGTACTACTGTACTTGTAGGTCCGGTGCTAGAACATTAGGGACGTGTGCACACGTAGCCAGTGTGGTATGGTTCCTTGGATACGCAAGAAACCAAGGAAATATTACCTTTCCATCTGATCGCCTTTTGAATTGTATCGACGATGCTGCAAATCGATTGAATCCTGAAAATATGAACATCGGTCGGGAACTGATTTGAATCTGGCGATTAGTTGATTTCTGTGTTCCTTGTGAAACATAATTATAGTAGTAGTAGTAGTATATGTCCTTCGTTGGTAGGTATGTACATACCAACCAACCATCGATCCCTAATGAGGTCCTTTAGCCCATAGTGTTCTGAACATGTATCTATATTGTATGTAGGCACGCAACAGTGAATCGTGCAGGACTATCCCCAGCCGATGCTCCGAAACTTCACAATATTTAATTCGTATATTAATATTCGAAAAATTCCTTGCGCTGTCTGGGAATCGAACCCACGACCCCGCAGTCCTGACTCGGGTGCTCGTCCACTGCGCCAATCCTGCCTACACACAATCATATTATAGGTATTGGAACTTTCACTTTCTAACGTGGACTAGGCCTACAGGGGATACCACAATAAAAAAAACGCGCCTGAAACTCTACCTCTCAGGTGGTGGGGAAACGAGTTGGTTTGTCTATTTTTTCAAAATCTGTGATTGAAATTCTTAATTGACATTTTTCTTTCAGGCCTATACTGAACCCGGTAACGAATATCTACATAACCAAAACTCCAACTTTAGTGTCTTTGCGATGTGCATATACTAACTTCGATTCTAACAATATACAGTATGGTCAAAAGATTGGAAGTTGGTTGGATATAGGAGAGTTGCAAAATATATTAACGCGCACCTCTTACTAGGCGTTTGCGGAAGTTTAGTTTCATACTTTTTTCGAAAAGTATTCATAGGATTGAGTTGGGAAAAACCGCTGTCGACTTCGAACGCTCATGAGTTTTAGCACGTTTATGAGTGGGATCGTTGATGAGTTGAAAGTTGATGAAAGGGGTGCGTAGAATAGTTGTGTCGTTGATGAGATTTTTTCGGGGGCATATTGTGATTTGTTTGATGTTTTCTGAAAAACATTTTCGAGATGTTTTGCTAGCGGACCTATAATAAGACCACTAGATTTTGTTTACGAACAAATCACATTTTTTGACATAGTTGACTAGTGACTACTAGTTTTGCGATTCGGAGCAATTTTTCGTGTTATTATGTAATTACTTTTCCATAATTATTTTCACATTATTCGATGTATAAAAAAAACTAGTCATAGCATGGGTCTGAAAATTCCCAATTTGATTGAAATATCCATACTGAGTATATTGGTGGAAAAAAATCTTACATCGACGGTAATAATTTCGAATTAGAGGGTGATGAAAAAAATAGTGGTTTTTGAATATTTTTTCGTGGTTGTCAATTTTTTCAATCGATGAATCACTCTGTATATCGTGGAACTCATTGGGATACATCCTTCAAAAATATTTTGAATGTCTGGAATCAACCCGATAATACGAGGTGGCCCAATGAACTTTAGGATAGACCAATTATGCAATCAACAGCATTAATGAAACACCATGTATAATTATTATATTTTACGAATTCAATTGATGTAAGAAGAGCATACTTGGCTATAAATCTCATTTTGTAATTGTTATCAATTTGTAGCATTGATATTCAGATATTCAAAAAAACACATTATTTGAAATGAGAATCACCCTGTAATAAAAATCAGTTTTGGTCGAATACCTATATAGTTCTTGCGCCTAAGGGCATAACTATTACGTGCTCCCGAAAAATTGGAATTCATTTGTCCTATCTTAGAGATATAGGCCGAGAAAAATTAGGTATTCTTCAACTTCAACACCCTGTATCTCGTAAACTAGTCATAGGATTGAGTTGGGACTTGGCATATTCAATCAGTATGTCGAGTACTATCATTTACCAAAAATTGGGGAAATTCGACGGAACGCCATTTTTATATAGAAAAAGTGCGGGGTCCTTTCTCACTGCTTTCCTAAAATGCACATTGGTCAGATTTGCAGATCTTATATCTACTGGTAAGTGATTGAAAAGCTTTCCACCATTATAAAGAATGGAATCCTTGATTAATGTTGAGTTGGGTCTGGGAAGTCTGATATTAAATATGCTATTACGAGTAGCATACGGAGAAGAAACAAAGTCAAACTCCGTTGTGTGTTTGTATACCAGGCATACAGTTTCAAGAATAAACAGTGCAACGACAGTTAAAATCTTATTGGCAGCAAAATAATTCCTGCATGAATCCCTAGGTTTGACCTTACAGAGACACCTTACAGCCCTTTTCTGTAATATCAACACAGAAGAGAGAAGGGTTGCACTGCATGTTCCCCAAAAAGGTATTCCATATCTTATTTGGGAGTCAATTAAAGCGTAGTAAGCCGTTTTTGCTGTGTGAAAACCCAACTCATTAGAAACCATTCTCACTGCATAACATCCGGATGAGATTTTACTCTTGAGTTGCCTAACGTGTTCATCAAATTTAAGCTTACTATCAATGAATACACCAAGAAATTTTGTGTTTAGTCTATTTTCCAAGATATCATTGCCTATTGAGAGTTCATTCAGCAGACATTTAAATGTTATTATATTTGTTTTGGAGATATTCAAGGATAACAAATTTGCATCACACCAATTTTTTACCTTTTCTACATCTGATGATATCTTTTTATGTAGCTCTGCCGAGTTCTTTTCCTTCCACAATATTGTTGTATCATCCGCAAAGAGAGTAAAGCTGCCAGATATATCTATCGTAGTCAAGTCATTAATATATAACAGAAACAGAATTGGGCCTAACACAGAACCATGTGGCACACCAGATGTGATTGCCCTGCTTTCTGAGAGTTCCGAAGTTCTTACTATTTGACTTCGCCCTGAGAGATACGATTCAAACCAATTGTACGTCACCCCTCTGCTCTAGTTTTCCGCTAGGGTGTATACTGTGATTTAGCCTCCTGCTTGACATACATTTTGGAAATATAATATTCAACATGGAAGAGCAATCGGTTCTTGATGTAGCCTTCATAGTTTCTTCGATTGTTGACGATGACGATTCAAGCTCGAGTGATGAAGACTTCTTGGACATTTATGTGATAATTGTGATATGACATCAATGATGAAGAATTTAGGAGACATTTCAGGTTTATTTAGATATGAATCCACCCAATGCTGCTGCTTCTCTCGTTACCTGTTTCACTTCATACTCCATATTATTCTCAGCGTTTATTATTTGGATGACGGGTATTTTCTGATATTGAAAGTGATATAATCAACCACCAAAATGAATGTTTCTTTCCTTCCCCTCTAAAATTATGACAGTTCACTGAAGCCACACTACCTTTTAATCACCAGCAATTTCAGCAGAATGTTGAGTCGAAATATTTGGAATGAATAGTATATTATTATCTGCTTACAAGCATCTGTCACATTCAGTGATTTTTTTGATTTCGGAATGAAAAATCAGCAAATTCAGTACGGTCAGTTGAATTCGGAATATAGCCTTGATCTTAATATGACATTATTCAATTATGTTTTGGAAGGATGGTAAAATGTGCTGCGGCTGTATCAATCAGTTGGATGGCAACATGGAAAGTGAAGTAACCGAATGAGAAAAATTGGTAAATACATCAGCAAAATATTTGAGGTGGAACTAATACGAAATCACATATTATACTTTCCCATTGTGCCTATAATTATCCACTCCACAAGTTTTTGAATGCATTTTAGTAGGAACAGTTTTGATTAAAAAGGAAGAATAGAAAAAGAGGCATATGCCCTACCATTTAAAAAATTATACCTACATTCAGGAAATATTGAGTGTTCGTGAAAAACTGCAAAAATGATTCTCAACATGAATATATACAGCACACATGACATATGAGTACATTAGTTCAAATACCTACATGAAATTTCCCATCATATCTCAACCATGAGGCTTAGTCTGAAATCAACACTCATTTATTGATAGGTACTGCCTAATAACAGTCCCATTTGGTAAAACGTATTTAACTCTCAGAAAAATTTGCTTTCTGCCTCCCAAAGAGCATGCTGGAGTTGAAAAATCAAAAAACTCAAAATTACCATCATCATTTGGATATAATATGTAGAGTTGAATGAGGAATTACATGTGGAAATTACGTATGATACACCAATGTACTCAATATAACCTAAAAAACAACAAATGCCAAAAATCTAGTGTTCATACCCAGAAATGAATAAAGATGGAACTATACAATAACTGTTTCACAAACACTTTAGAGTGAGAGGAGACGAGGATCTGTCCGTACCATGTTAAGATGACAAATACGTCAATTTACATCATGGGACCCTACCTTGTAAGAGTTCGAAAATCTAAATGTAATTTCTTTGTCTTCTCCCATTAAAGAATTTTCTATTGTTGTGAATCTTATCCATAAAACCATCATTCTTTCCAATTTTTTTTCCAGTGGTGGCATTGAGGTGGGAGATATTATAACGCACATCAATGGAGTCCCAGTGAAAGAACCCACTGATCTTTACATCCAACCGGATAGCAGAAAAGTACTAGAGATCAGAACTATTCACGAAGGAAAAAGGAAAACAATACATCTCATTTCGAGTACCAGATAATGATAATTTACACCACATTATATCATCATTTAAGTACCCAGTGTTCAATTTATTTACGAATTTAGGTATCCACACTATCGCAATTACCTACCTATTTTAAAATTCATGGATAACACACAACCATAAATTTGATGATATGATATAGTTCAATGCATTGAGTAGTCTGTCAATTGTTTCATGCTTATTCTAGGCCGATAGAAAATGAATTGGCATATGTTCATGGCAAAACAGAGACTTCCTGCGGCATTTGAAATTATGTTACTTCATTTGTGCGATTGGTGTGATGTATTAGTCCCAGCACGCCTATTGTCCTTGAGCTGACCAATCACACTCTGCAACACTACAGAATCAGAGAGAAACAGCAACAGTTCGGGAATGATACGTCACGGCATATCTGGCTTCTTGAGATATGGAATGGAACATGCTGATTTCAAAACTCTACAGATTCAATTTCCTCCAACTACAATAAAATTATGATATTGATTCTACATTATTAATAATGTAAATCATGATTCATTGACTTGTAATTAGTTGTTATTGAGCAAACTTCATTACTAGACTGGTTTTGAGTGATATCTAAGTACCTGAGACTGATTCTAGTGTTGAATTCCACTTGTTCGAAATCTCGAAACCCGGAAACCTGGGAGAGCTGAGTAATTCATTGATTCCTGACTTTCCAAAGCTTTTCCTGATAGTTAGCTCTGATGAACATCATTACAACCCTAAACACTTCAATAAATTTCAACCCTTTGCTTATGATATGGAATATGGAAGAATTATATTCATCTGTTAAAATGATGGATGTTTACCTGGTCATAACTTTTTTGTTATTGGATATTTTCGAGTCAAATTCATTCAGTACCATTAGCAAGGGTAGTAGATCCTGTTTCTGTGCCCATTTAGGGTTGAATATTATATTTGTGAGTGTAGGAACATGTGCTTTTGGATGCAAGTTCCTGCAGGTATAGTTGCGGATTTCAACCAATCAGGTTCTAGGATTGAGCTGTCCTTGTACCGAGGTTGATGGGGAGTATAAATTCGGAGGACAGCTGAGGGATCTCTCTCTCCGTGCCCTACTGTACACACTACTCTACGCTTCACACTCTCTACTCTTCACGCTCTTTACTTCTGGCTTTTTTCACTTGTTTCTCTTCTGGTCATCTTGCTGATCTCCTAGTGCACTCATATTTCATTGAAAGCCAGTGTTAAGTATGGATGTATAGTGATTTCGTGTTGCACATGTAAGTTTGTATAATATTTTCCACCATTATTATTCATCCTGTTCATATAGATTCATTTCATTTCTGTAGTTTTTCATACCGATACTCACCCGACCTGTGTTACGAATCCAGAAATTCGTATATGCGAATAAACGGTTTTTTGTGATTGCATATTTCATTTTTCTTTCCTGTTGTCATTGTTTTCAGTTCCAAACAGTTCCAATAATTCATTCATTTATTTTCAATATTTTTATTTGCCAGATTGCGTATTGTTATTGACTGACGGCTGACATAGTCACTAGCCAGTTGTCAATTCTTCTTTTTCTCCTTAAGCATTCCTGTCCTGTGCACCCGAGTCCCTGTGCTTTGTATTCTGTCACGCTGTGGCCTGTGGTTCATGAAATTCTGAGATGAACAGAAAAATATAATTGACCTCACTAAAATTCCGATATGGCGGAAATTAGGAAATTCAGAGGAAAAATGAATACGAAATGAATCTTTTCAATTCGTTTCGATCTGTCTTTCGAATTCTCCTGGTAAACTTATTGGAGTAGTTTGAATGAATAATTCTCCAGGCCTAACCTAAAAATGCCAGAGACGGTTTTCAACAGATATTTGCTTAGATTCCTGCAATTATCCAGAATAAAAATAGCAACCAGTATTCCAGGCTAAACCCAGGGTAAGTAATCGAAGGCTACATTCCCGTGGCTTCTTGATTCCAGGTCGATTCAATAACATTGACCCCTGGTTTATATTGGAGGTATCAAGGTAGGTATACCTTCTGTACCCTGTGCCTGTCTCCACTGTTGTTACCCAGGCCTTCTAATAAACTGAGACAAATACTAGAGTAGTCTCTGTTTGAACAGGCGCCAAAGTAAGGGCCTCAGAAATAAAGGGCATTACAGACTGAAAGAGGTTTGGACGGATTGCATTCCTCAGTGAAGTTCCTCATCAACTAGATGCAGAAGCTAGGCCTCTCCCGCCACTTCACGGTTACAAGGAGGAATTACTACTATGCAGTTTCACATGAGAGGGCGCCAGAGAGAATTGATGACATTTTGGCTATATCTTTACTTGGCATTTTATACAATTGATTGGTTGGTGTATCAATACAATGTTTCCAAAGATTTTCAATATGATGTTAATATTCTATTATTTTATGAACAAGATCCCCTAACATTTATTAGATAGTCGATTCGACTCAGTATATGAGAGTAGAGAATCATGTTTGCAATCTCAATGTCAAGTTTGGGACATCTTCTCAATGCACCAATAATTGGAGGTTCTTTGTCAGAAACATCAATTTGTTTGTTCCACTTCAACCTGTCATCAAACCAAATATTTTTATTTCATCAGATTGAGAAATTTTTTTAAATTTCTTCAAACGTTTTTGTTGAAAAATCATATATCTTGTTTTATTATTATTATTCGATGAAATGTTAGAGTGGAGCCATTTTCGAAATATTTCCGAATCTTTCTCTGAATTTGAAGGATTCTCACTTCCATATAAAAGAACTGTATCTGCATACATGGTATATTTACTCGCTAGACCAAGTTCACTGATATTCAAAACATAAAGTAAATATAGTATAGGTCCTGAAACAGAGCCTTGTGTAACACCCTCATCAATTGATTATTTGACAGCGACTTAGTGCATTTCGTAATTTGTCCTATTTTCAAGATGTAAATTCGAAACATTTTTCACAGTGCCTCTGAGTCCCATTGATTTCAAGTTTTCTGAAAGTATTGTATGATCAACTGTGTCGAAGGCCTATTTGAGATCAATGAAAACAGCAATCACATAATTTCCTGAATCAAGTCCTTTCTGGATTGATTCCATCACTTGTAATACTGCTGCTGCCACAATGAGCATCTTGAGAATTTTCTCAAAAATTTATGAAAATATGCTCATTAAATCTATGGGTTTGTAACTTGTGGGATCCTGAGCATCTCCATTTTTTTCAATGAAAAAACAGTACAATACAAATTTGGTCGATTTTTTTGTTTGGGGTTGACCGACTTCGTACTATTTTTTCTTTGGAGACATTTTGGACCACTATCAAAAGGATGGATGGTTTTCATGACTTATCTCCATTTTAACAGCTTTTATTTAACTTGCATTGTATGTTTGTATGTATGTATGTTCGGGTGGAATCTTTGAACTCAAGTTTGAAGTAGAAATCTTCAACCGATTGAGCTGAAATTTCGTATACACGTTCAGTTTGGATGACAATGCACGATAAGGTGTGTCACGTTATTCTAAATCCAATATGGCGGACTATCCAAGATGGCGGAATAGCTATTTTTGATATACTTTCACGATATGAGTATCAAATGAAAAGGCTCGATGAGAGTAACTCGAAAAATGATGAGACGTCATTCTGAATCGAATATAGCGGTCCATCTAAGATGGCGGAATGATCATTTTTTATCTACTTCTACTTCTACAATATGGGTACACAATTTATATTATCATAAAAGCTTGTCGCAATGATCAATATTTAATCAAATTGTAATTTGAAAAATTTTATCTCAGCAGATTTTACATAATTAAATAAGTACTAGTTCATTCACACAAGTGAATCGCGCGACAAACTTTTATGATTATATAGGTTGTGTATAATGGACCCTAATAACACACTTATGTCCCATGGATATTCTTAGAACGTCCTGTCGGGACATTCAGGACGTCGAATTTGGTACCGTTGACGTCCATTGGACGTATGTGGGACGCACAAATGTCCCACTTGCGGACCAATTAGGGTCGTCCTTGAGGGACGTCCGTAGAAGGTCCCCAAAAAGTTTCTCATTGATGTCCAATGGATTCACGTGAAGGACATCGTTTAGGAGTACTTATAGCCTAGCAATTATTCGTCGGCGAGGTGTAAATCAACGTCCTCGCAGGGACAACATATTGAAAGTACCGACTGGGACGTCCATTGGACGTTATTTCTAGGACACTGGAAGAGTACAGTTCATGTAGAAATTGGGACATCCGGCAGATATCCCTGAGGGACATTTCGATTGTTATACGATCCTGAAAATATTAAGGGCATCTGTGCAGAGATATTTGAAGGAATGTACCATCTGGGAAATTTCATGGTTGTCTAGAAGGGACATTATATAAGATCTGAAGCCATGCCAGAATATGTACTACTCGAAACATCCGATGGATGTCCTTGAAGGAACGTTTAAAATCATATCCCATCAGGGACATGCCAAGGACGTCCTTGCATGGACATTCTACAATATGTACCACGTAGGACGTCTAAGGGATGCTATTTCTAGGAAATTTGAAATGATGTACCAGCTGGGACATTCCGTGGACGTCCTTGCTCGGACATTGCATGAGATGTACGGGATGGGACGTCCCACTTATTTTAGGTTCGGGACATTCGGACGTGAATTGTACCAAATAGGGACGTCTCTAGGACGTTGTGTGCTATTAGGGGAGGTCATAAGTTGATAGTTGAAATTATTAAGAAAAATTTTATTTTCTCCTTTTTAGAGCGTTTAAATAAAAGCTTTTTATCAAAAAGTTCATTTTTACTTTTAATTTATTTCTAAACAGCTCTTAATGATGTGTGTTTCAATTCGTGTGGGAAAATTTCTTTGTTCGATATCTGTGACTGTTTATATGTTAGCTCATCACTGTTTTTGTCTGTCCCAAATAAACAGACGAGTAATTGATGACGGAAGCTTTATCGTGTATGCACAAATTTGTATTAAAATGCAGATTCATTTCTGCATTGGTAGAGCGAGCAATATTATACGCTACGGAATCTGCTCTGCGAAAACCTGAGGATCTAATTAATCTATTATTATTTTCTCTCAAACTAAAACAAGTATATGGCCATATAACTTTATTATAGAAGGCGAATATATGCATCAAACGTAGCGAGATTGTTTCGTATTTTGAGAGGTGCTTGGGAAATAAAAAAATCTGGTGAAATGAACGAAATATACGAACTGCGGTAATCTGCAATAATGAAGGAAATAAATTGACGAATACTCGTAAAGAAAAATACATAAAAGAATATGAGTTATGGAAAACTTTCTCAAAGTTCTATGATACAGATGATATTACATACAGGGTTGGGCATATGTGTGGAAACACCTCAATATCTCGAAAACGAGAAATGCGATCCCAATGAAACTCGGTACCTAAGGACTGTTCGACCTGTGAGGAAATCAAAAATCGTATCAGCAATGTTGCCAGATCTCTCGATTCTGCTGTGCGTGACACAGCTTTGTTTTTTCAAATGCAACACCCAGTTTATCATAATTGCATTCGATTGCTGATGCTTCATTTGATAGAACCTCGGATTTGGCAAACCAGCATTTTTGAAAAAAAAATGGAAACTCCTGAATGTCTTCAAAATAATAATCGATACATCTCAGTACGTGGAGCTGTCCGACCTGAAGAAGTCGAAAATCGTATCAGCGCAACTAAATTTTTTTCATGGTAACACTAATCATATGGATTCAAATTCCGTTTTTTCCTGAGATCTGACAAACCAGCGTTTTTGGGAATGGTTATGAGAGAATACCCCTGAATATTTGAAATTGAAAACGACAGATGTGATTTGGATGAAAATCAGTTCCTGCGGATCTAGGAAAGTCAAAAATAGTGTCAGTGGTATTGTCAAATCAGGTTTTTCTGCATGCGATAGTCCGTTTATTATGACTGCATATTCGATTTCTGGTGCTCCATTTACAAAAATCCCAGACAAAAAATTATTTCAAGTTAATATTTTATTTGCAGGAATATTTGAAGTTTATCAAATACCAGTTTGCTATGAATGCTGTATTAGTGATTGAAAAATCTATCAGACAAGATTTTTCTGGAGCAAAGGTACTTAAATTCATCGATATAACATCCATTGTTTCAGAGATATCAAGGAGTTCTCATACTCCTTTCCAAAAATACTGGTTTGTCAAATCATAGAAAATATATAAAATTGGAATTTGTCAATTGGAGGTTCTATCAAATGATGCATCAGCAATCGAATGCAATTATAATAAACTGGGTGTTGCATATGAAAAAACGAAGTTGTGTCACGTACAGCAATATACAGAAATCTTGCAACAATGCTGATACGATTTTTTATTTCCTCAAGTCCAACAGTCCCCATGGACCAAGTTTCATTGGGATCGCATTTATTGTTTTCGAAATATTAATGGTGTTTCCACACATATACCCAACCCTGTATGTACCAGGTGATTCAATAGGGGTGATGAGGTGCTGGGTATCTCAAGAAGTAATAGTTTATCAAAGACGCCCCCTAGCGAGGGCAGTAGGAACCCGAATGGAATAGATGTTTTTTGTTTCATTCAGCAAACCTTCCTTTCTTGAACCAGATCGATCTTGTAAGCGAAATCATTAGTTCCTGAGATCAATATCTCGTCACCCTTATTGAATCACCTGGTACAAGCAATCGGGGAAAATTCCACAGGTAAATAGAGGGTGTCCCTAAGAGGTATTTACAGAAACTAATCACATATTTCTCAGACCAGAACAATTTTATGCAAGCAAACTTGTTGCTTAGTTCTGGTGGTAAATCTCAAGTTACAATTTTCAAAATCGTTTCTGCTTTATAACTCTGAAATGGCGCATGAGATTTTTCTCAAATTTGGTACACGTTGGCAAAGCTACATTGGACAATGAAACCGATGTCATGATTATAATAAATATCATTCCATAAAACTATAATAGAGAAAAAAAAGGGTACGAAAATAAGAGTGATTATTCCAGATTTTTTGGGATTTTCTCCTCGTTTCTATAAAATGAAAATATTAATTTCATTTCAATATACGTGTAGTGAGGACAAATCAGATGATTTGCCCCAAAATGTCACTGCGTTTGAAGAATTTCCCTATCGGAGAGCCTGAAAGAAAAATTCACTAGCTTGTCAGTGGAAATTTGTATTGAAAAAAGGTTTGGAGAAGAGAAATGAAGGTATATAGAAAAAATATTGAATTTTCATTTAGCTTTGGACGTTCCGGGAACGAATCTGCTCCCATTTTCAACATAAAAAATGGATATTTGAATAGCAATTCCTTATTTGTCTTTTCAGTTCAGAAAAATGAAACTTGTTGGTGATATATTCAAAGTGAAAACTGTTTTGAAAACTGAAAATACAATGAGATCAATTCTAAATCAAACAAATCCGAAAAATGGAGAACAATCGTTAAACATTTTTTTACAGTATACCTTGTGTTGTGAAAAGTTTTATACAGGTGAAACCAAGAGACCTCTCTCAGTAAGGACGAAGGAACAAGAGTACAATATGAAGATAAGACACATCGACAAATCAAAACAAGCTGAACCTATCCTTAATGAGGATGGACAACATATGGCAGAATAGAATAATATTAAGAGCATTGAAAAAGAAGATAACAACCAGAAGAGAAGAATCATCAAGGAATCTGCTTACATTCTTCTGAACGGAGACAGTAGCATTGGTTCCTGTTCAGTTGATATAGATAGAACATGGTATTCACTACTGAAATCTGAAAATGAGAATGGTTAATCCAAGATTAATTAATGAAAATATTCTGTAACTCATTCGAATGTCTACGTCACCAAGTGTCACTGAGAACAGGAAAGTTTTGAGACAAATAAGAAATTGCTATTCAAATATCTTTTTTTCATGTTGGAAACGGGAGCAGATTCGTTTCCGAAACCTCCAATGCTAAGTGAAAATTCTATATTTTCTCTATATTACTTCATTTCTCTTCTCCAAACCTTCTTTCGATACGAATTGTCACTGACAAGCTAGTGAAATTTTTTTCAAGCTCTCTGATAGGGAAATTCTTAAAACACATATACATACACGTATATTGAAATAATTCACATATTCTCATTTTATAGAAACGAGGAGAGAAAATCCCAGAAAATCTGGAATAATGAATGTACAGGGTGATTCACCATAAATGTCCCCTCCTCTAGCTCACTTATTTTTTAATCGATTTGAAAATTTGAAACATCATCTGAAATGATTTTTCAGAAATATTTTTCCCGTTGCATCAGAAAAAACAGGGTGCTCGGAACAAACGATCTACAGAATACTACTTGATTTTTTCAAATGGAACACCCTGTATTTTATTATATTTTTTTGCAATTATTAAATGTCAGTAGATAGTAAATCAAAAGTTAAGATACGATCAAGAAAGCCGTTTTGACCTATAATGAATAGTTTCGTTACAGAAAAATCCTAAAGTTGAAAAATCTCGATATTGAACACCCTATATCTCTGTAATCATTTTCGCTAAACCCCAAGTGTGATGAATTGATGAAATCAGCTCTTCTGGGAGAATCTAAAAATGAAATGAAAAATAGGGTGTTCCATTAAAAAAAATCAAATAGTACCCTGTAGATCGTTTGTTCCGAGCACCTTGTATTTTCTGATGTAGTGGAAAAAAACTCTATCGAAAATCATTTCAGATGATTTTTAAAATTCTGCCATCGGTTCAAAAGTAACTGATCTAGAGGGGGGGACATTTATGGTGAATCACCCTGTACCACCTCCTCGATTAACCCACAGACAGTATTTTCGATTGAAAAAAAAACACCCCTGCTGTCGAGTTTCTTCACTCCGTACTGGAATCTAGTTCATCTCAAATTCATCCTTTTTATAAAAGTGAAGAAATGTTAATGTCGTGTTAATTGCATAGCAACGAAAAAAATGATATTGAAAATTTTGACTGTCAATAAAAACCGATATCAACCATGTTATGGTCTTGAGCTAACTGATATCACACGCCTGCGAGAATTACCCCGTACTCATACAGTACAATTCCCAGAACCGCGACCCACTCCACGCCGCACCAAAATAGCCGGCGGCGTCTGTTCACGACCGGCGTCGCGACGCTCTCCCGCGATGCCCGCGTCGGTTCAGTCTCGGTCATGACGGACGACAGGACGCACGGTGCGGGTGTGCAGCAGCGCGCGAAAGGACGCTCGGCGTCGATATGCGCCGCGACGCACGCCGTCTCGCTGGAGGCGATCCCGCCGCCGTCGGGAGGCGCTTCCCCGGACGCGAACAGGAGGAGGCGGCCGGCGGCCAGGTCGCAGAGTGCCAGAACCGCCAATCGCAGGTGAAGTACCTATTTTACTTTTTATAACATAGTATCAACATTGAATTGAGATTGTACACTTCCAAATTGATGAATATCAGTTCTGAATTGGGATTAAACGCTTTAAGATTGAAGATGAATACTTCTGAATTGGGAATATTCAGTCTCACATTGGAATTGTATACTTTGATTTTGAGTGCCAGAAATGCCAATCGCAGATGAAGTACCTATTTGCCTTTTTATAACATATTATGAACATTGAATTGAGGTTATACACCTGCAAATTGATGGATATCAGTTCTGAATTGGGATTAAACGCTTTCAGATTGAGAATGAATACTTCTGAATTGAGAATGTTTAGTCTTACATTGGGATTGTACACTTTGATTTCGATGAATCTAACTTCTGAGTGCCAGAAATGCCAATCGCAGGTGAAGTACCTATTTGCCTTTTTTTAACATATTATCAACATTGAATTGAGTTTGTACACTTTCAGATTGATGAATATCATGTCTGAATTGGGATTAAATGCTTCCAGATTGAGAATGAATACTTGTGAATTGAGAATGTTCAGTCCCACATTGGTATTGTACACTTTGATTCTGATGAATCTAACTTCTGAGTGCCAGAAATGCCAATCGCAGGTGGAGCACTTATTTTCCTTTGCATAACATATAAGCAACATTGAATTGAGATTGTACACTTTCAAATTGATGAATATCAGTTCTGAATTGGGATTGAACGCTTCTAGATTGGAGATAAATACTTGGGAATATTCAGTCTTACATTGGAATTGTACCCTTTGATTTTGATGAATCTAACTTTTCTGAGTTAGATATTGTATATTTGAATCGAAAGACAGAAATGAATACTCTTTATGTATCTAACAGGAATGAAATTTCGAATTTTATATATAATACCAGCAATAGAATTCAATTTTCTCCTCACGATAGTTGTTCATCAATATAAAGACCTAAATATTTTGATCATTTGTATATTCAATGGATTTGATATTGAAACATATTGGGGTATCATTCAATATATCTGTTGTTCGTTTTGAGATGAACATATACGTAGATTTACTATAATTGAGAGTCAACATTGAATTGAGACTGTATACTTTTAAATTGGTGAATATCACTCCTGAATTGGAATAAAACGCTTTCAGATTGAGAATGACTAGTTCTGTTATTACATATTATCAACATCGAATTGATATTGTACCCTTTGGAATTGATGACTTTGAGTTCTGAATTGGGCTTAAACGCTTTCAGATTGAGGATAAATACTTCTAAATTCTGAATTGGTCTCACAATGGGATTGTAAACTTTCAAATTGATGAATATCAGTATTGAATTTGGATTAAACGCATTCGGATTGAGGATTAATACTTGTAAATTGGGAATGTTCAGTCCTACATGGGGATTGTACACTTTGATTTTGATGAATCCAACTTCTGAGTACCAGAAATGCCAATCGCAGGTGGAGTACCTACCCGCCTTTTCATAACATATTGTCAACATTGAATAGAGATTGTACACTTTCAAATTGATGAATATCACTCCTGAATCGGGATGAAACACTTTTTGATTTTTGATGAATACTTCTCAATTGAGAATGTTCAGTCTTACATTAGGATTGTACACCTGTCGGTGGCCAGGACGCAGATTGCCAGAACCGCCAATCGCAGGTGAAGTATCAACCTTTTCATTATTATGAACATTGAATTGAGATTGATCATTCCAAAATTGAGATTGTACACATCAAAATTGATGAATATCGGTTCTGAATCGAGATCAACCACTCCCAAAAATTGTGGATAATCACTTCCGTATTGAGAATGTTAAGTCTTGAATTGGGATTGTGGAGTATCTACCTTTTTATTATTGTCAACATTGAATTGAGATTGATCATTTCAAAATTGGGATTGTACACATAAAAATTGATGAATTTCGGTTCTGAATTGAGATCAAACACTTCCAAAAATTGTGAATAATCACTTTCGTATTGGGAATATTCAGTTTCGAATTGGGATTGAACACTTTCAATTTGCATCATTCCTTCCCACTTAATTGAGAGGCCGGCTTTTTATATGTATACCTCGTCAACTTCGAATTGAGATTGTTCACTTTCGAATTGATGAGTATTACTCCTGAATTGGGATTGTACGCTTCCGAATTGAGAATAATCACTTCCGAATCAGAAAATGTTCGGTCTCGAATTGGTATTGAACATATTCAAATTCATGTATATCACTTCAAAAGTGATATTGATTATAAATATCAAATTGGGAATCCCTCTCAATTTGTGAATAAATGCTTTCGAATTGAGATTCTACACCTTTTTCTCGTCAAGAGACTTGTGCGAGCATCAAGGAATGACGGGGATATTACCTTCTAACGTGTGATCCCAAACACTTTATTAGGCCATCATCAAAATTTCTGTGGTCGTGGTGGGAATCAAACCCACTATCGGTTATCCAACGTGAATAGAACATCGACGGCTTAACCACGAGGCTACGCTGGCCAATGATAGAATGACAAGGTTGATATTGGAATTTATTTCAACTTATCGAGGTTTCTTCTCCTCGGAAACACTTCCTCAGGCAGAGTAATCCAAACCTTAGCTTTCCATGAGTTATGGTAGAGAGTTGTTCGACATATTATATGATAACAAAAAAAAAATCTTCGAAGACACAAAATAAAGCAAGAGTGTTATCGTTATTTCCTCCTATTTTTGAAGGTCGGTAAGGACACGCGTCAATCCCTCCACCAACCACAACGGCGGCGCCGTCAAACCGCCGACGCAGCCGCAGCAGAGCACCAGCGAGCCGAAACTCGCCGACAATCATACGGCGACGCCCGACGTCTCGCCGCACATCCGCCGCAAGGGGTCGCAGCACCAGCGTCGCGGCGCTTCGGGGCACCAGCGCAAGTCCACGGCCTTCCTGGACGTGCCGGAGACGCGCGGGAGAAGTCAGCGGGAGGAGGAGGGGGAGGAGGAGGAGGACGAGGACTCGTATAGGTTGAGGTCCTTCAGCTTTACCTCCAAAGGTCGGTTTACTACGCTGTTTTTTTTCTGACAACTATAAAACTTCCTTTGAGAAAGGGATGAATAGAAGTACTCTCTGTAGGTTAATCGAGGAGGAGGTAGATTCATTATTCCACATAATTTGGGATTTTTTCTCCTCGTTTCTATAAAATAAAAATATGAATTTTAATACAATATACGTGTAGTAAGGACAAATCAGATGATTTGCCCCAAAATGTCACTGCGTTTAAGGAATTTTTCTATCAGAGATCCTAGAAGAAAAATTCACTAGCTTGTCAGTGACTATTCCACTCTTGATCTCGAGAACCAATCAGAATCGACCATTTTCACGGTTTCTTCTGTATTCTAGCGATATTTTTTGTTTATTAAATTTTATCGGACTTGCTCTACCAATACAGAAGCCGAATTGACCCACACGTGACCAACAAACCTCGTTTATCAGCGATAAAATTTTGACATCGTGTCTGGTCAAGATTGCTTTGGATCAAATCTGAGACAATAACCTAAGTTCCTACTTTATTTTATTTACCTATAATTTGCGTTAGTGAGACATTTTGTACGAAAGGCGAGAACATTTTATTCTTTAAAATGTATACATATTTGTTGGCGGTCTGACAACAATACTAGAATTCAAATTCCTTTTTGAAGTAATCTTCTTCAATTATTCAAGTTATTGTGACCGGTATAGTTACCAGATGATGTGGCGCAACTGATAGGATTGTTGCGCGAGGATACGAAGATCGGTGGTTCGAGCCCCTCGGCAACGATTTTTTTTTAATTGTTTCATGTCACATAAATTCAATTTTTTTTTTTTTTGAATTGGATAGCAATTGTATACACTCTTTTGAGAGCAACCATCTCCAAGATAATAAAAAAAATACTGTTTATCAAAATTGTACATTCCACTTTGTGAATAACTAGGTATAAGTAGGTAGTTAATTTCTAAAAAATTAAATTCTGTATTGCATTACTATTATTATGTTATTCTTCGCAGTTTGAGTTGGAATATACTTAAATTGTGATTCCTATTTCTTATATCTATTGTCTCATTCAATCATGAAATATTCATACGAATACAACTCGTGATACTATTTTTCCTGGAAATATTCGTCGATTGACATACTCCAGCTTGCTGCTCTAATTTCACTCATGACATTGATCCAAAACTACTCACCTACAGCTCGTAGTTTTGATAACAATATCATTCACGAAATTACTAGGCAACAAGCTGTCGTAACAATCACCGAATATTTCCGGCAAAATATTATCACTTGTGGTATTATATATGACAATTTGTATTGACAATTTGATTCATGATGAAAAATTCCACAAGTCGCGTGATTTTGTCATTGTGACAGCGAAAAAGGTTTGCCCTAACTTTTCCAGTGACACAAACGGAAAGCATGATAACCAGCCATAAACAAAATAATGTTTGATGAATTAAATTGTCTTACCGAATTACACTCTAGCTTTTTTTTGTTAGTCGAAGTAAACTTGCCATTTATAATTCGAATTTTGTTGCCATTAGGTAATTCAACTCAAAAAACTGCCAGAAGAAATTACTCGTCCCACGCACTCGTAATTTTTTCAGAGGCAGTTTTTTTCGTCAAATCGCCAGGCAACAAGATACTTATTGATGAATAATATCAAGTTTACTTCGACAAAAAAAGCTCTCGTGTGAAAAAATAAGTGAAAAAAGTTTGGAGAAGAGAAATGAAGGTATATAGAGAAAATATCAAAATTTTACTTAGCTTTGGATGTTTCGAATGTGCTCCCGTTTTCAACATAAAAATAGTTATTTATTATACAAGGGAAAAAAGTAGTAGATTTTAGCTCCAGGTTGTGTTGTCTCCCGACGCGTAGCGGAGGGAGACAAAAAACCGTGAGCTAAAATCTAATATTTTTCCCGTGTATAATACACTATTTTTTTCTGTGACAGAAGGAAGGACGAATCAATATTGAGAAGATATTATATTATTTCGAAATCTGAAAATTATCGACGTGAAATTTCAAGTTTTTAACAGTAGGGACACCTGCGTTTTATAGGCATCTTTATCATTCTTTTGAAGTAATCAGATATCTGATGTCACTTCTGTCAGTTCAATTCTGTGATTTGATTTTAAAAATTGCGAATTCAGTAGTTGTTTAGTAATATAGGAAACCGCGAAGTCGAATGGAAGATGAAAGGACTTGCAGTTCTTTCTCGGAGACGGTATTATTGACTCATTTTTCGGAACTATAGCACAACAAAAGCCATAACCAGAGTATATATATGTGATATATATCCGGGAAGCATTTAAACATTCCGGTATAGGATTCGGCACCTGCTTAAATTCTATTGGCGGATTTTGATTTGTATGACCAATTAAAGGCGAAGTGCCGAAATCCGTACCAGAATGTTGAGCGGTGCTGAAAAGCAGGTCGGAATGTTGCCCTGCATTTTGCGCGGTTTTTGTTTACATTTACCCTCGCATTTACCTTACCTGCGTATTTTTTGATTATACCGTCGTTCCCACATGCTAACAACAAACCTGCAATCTTGTTATTATAGTTAAGTGCAATCATCAATTAGTGGAGTATACCATAAATCACTAATTATGGAAAGATTAATAAAAGTTTCAGAAAATTTGTATAGGGGCAATATAAAGAATGAAACAGAAGTTGTGCAATGGATGAATGATTATGAAGCTCAGTCGTTTACATTATGACGTTTCGAATCAGGCCCTACAAATATTAAAAGATTCTTGTACAGGTAACAATTTTATGTTTTTTAAATATTTTTTTATTTGCTCAAGAAATGTATTCGAAGAAGACGAAGACGCAGTTTGGCAGGTAACGTGGCGAGAAATCAACCAAACGCTAAGTCCCATGGAATAGGACATTAACAGACCAAGTGTTCTAATGATTGTTATTTCGAATTTATTATCTCATTTTATTACATATAATCATTCATTTTAAACTTTTATACCAAATAATCATCATGAATATAAATGAAAATTTCTAAAGTTATTGAAAAATGCGTTCATTACACATTATCTCGAGCTTTCATTTCATCAACATTCCGACCTGTGTTTCAGCACCGCTCAACATTCTGGTACGAATTTCGGCACTCTGCCTTCAATTGGTCAGATAAATCAAAATCGGCCAATAGAATTTAAGCAGGTGCCGAATCCTATACCGGAATGTTTAAATGCATCCGGGAAAGAAGTACTCACTTTTTTCCCACGGGAAAAAAGTAATTTATGAAAAGTGACATTTTATAACCTGCCAACAGAGATGAAATGCCAAACTTTTTTCCCGTCACAGAAAAAATGGATTTTTTGTATGGCAAATTCGTATTTGTCCTGACACTTTTCAGTTTTCAGTGACAATTGGTGACGTTGCCTACGTCACCCATTTACGGCAATCTTCAATAGAAAAACACGGGGAATCTCTAGCTGTCGCGTTGGACATATCGAAAGCATTCGACCGTGTTCGGCACGAAGGACTCCTCCACAAACTACCATCATACGACTTACAGCAATTCCGGCGTTCCACAAGGATCAATTTTGGCACCAACATTATTCCTTCTTCATATCACTGCTCTGTAGGGAGTAACAACTTGCCTCATCCACAGCTTTGCAGATGATAGTACCCTCCATACTGCGTTCTCTTCCAGAATTCCCATTTCTTCCCAGGAAACTAAGAACTCACGGCGCAGGCAGGTCAATGCTGTCAATGAAGATCTTGCTGAAATCACAGCCTGGGGAACGAACAACCTAGTTGAATTCAACGCCACCAAAACAAGCCTGCATTTTCTCTAGAAAGGCGGAACTCAGTATGCCCGATATTGTAATGTCTGGCTCCACCATCCCCACCAAGCCCACCATATCTATGCTCGGTATTTCCATCAGCAACACTCTTTCATGGGATAATCATGTCAGATCCATCGCAAAAGCTGCTTCACAAAAACTTGGATTCTTGTTCCGTGCGAAAAGCTACTTTACACCTCAACAGCTTTTCATGATCTACAAAGCGCAGATACGGCCTGTTCTAGAATACTGTTCCCACATATGGGGTTCGGCACCAAAACATACGCTGATGCTCTTAGATTCCATCCAGAGAAGAACCATTCGCCTGGTGGGTGACGCCACACTCACTCACTCTTTGACATCATTGGAACACCGTAGAAAGGTCGGCGACCTTTCACTTTTCTATCGATACTTCCGCGGGAAATGTTCTTCAGAAATCTCTGCTATCATCCCTTCACTAGCAATACCAATCAGACGAACTAGACAAGCCCAGTCAGCACATCCTTTTGTTGTCAACCTCGAAAGATGTCGAACAGCACTTTATCAGGACTCCTTCATCCATAGAACGGCTAGGCTATGGAATTCATTGCCTGTGGAAGTATTCCCAACAACATATAATCTCCAAAAGTTCAAAAAAAATTTCAATACCTACCTCCTGTTCCTATCCTCCCTAGGAACACACGATGTTCTTTGAACATTATAGGGATTCCCTTTCGTGCGCTCCAAGCGACAAAAAAATATCAAATGAGTTACATCAATTAATCTTGAATTCACCATTTTTATTTTCAGATTTCAGTAGTGAATATCATGTTCTATCTTTATCAACTGAACAGGAAGCAATGCTATTGTCTCCGTTCAGAAGAATGCAAGCAGATTCCTTGATTTTTCTCTTCTGGTTGTTATCTTCTTTTCCAATTATTTTAATATCATTCCACTCTGCCATATCTAAAAAAATGGAACGTGTTGGTGATGAATTTCAAGTGAAAACTGTGTTCAAAACTGAAAATACAATGAGATCAATTCTAACTCAAACAAAACCGAAAAATGAAGAACAATCGTCAAAAAATTGCATTCACTGTATACCTAGTGTTTGTGAAAAGTTTTATACAGGTGAAACCAAGAGACCTCTTTCAGTAAGGACGAAGGAACAAAAATACAATATAAAGAAAAGACACATCGACAAATCGGAACTAGCTGAACATATTCTTACT